ATTAGCTTAATCGACTTAACTGCACAATCTAGACAATCCAGCTGAAATGGTTCAAATGGCTTAACAGTCAAAGGTCAGTTGAGAAAAATTGCACAATCTATCTCAACTGGCTGGAGTACTTGTAATGGTCAAATCAACTTCAATGAATGAACGGTACAAACTACACAATCTACCCAAGTTTCTTGAAGTGTTTAAAATAGTTAACTATTTAGGTTGCTTCGACTTGTAAAATAGTCAAACCAGTTAAGACAGTTTAACTGGACAGATTGCAGCGTCTTTCTCAATTGGTTGAAGTAGCTGAAATGGTTCAACTTTACAAATGGTTCAAATGCACAAAATGCATAACTAGCTTAAATAGTTCCATGGCCCAAACTGCACAATCTAGTTGAAGACGTTTAACTATTTAAGGTAGAATTATGGTACTAGGGGCATTTAACGTATATTTATTAGATATCAGTGATTCTGTGTTGTTATTATCGCGCAGTAATTTTGCACTGGCCTTTTCTGATAATACTTATCATTTCCTGGAATCCAACTATCTTACCAAGTTTGACCATTGAACCAGTTAAGCTAGTATGGCCATTTGAAAAACTTTATCAATCAAGATAGACTGTGTAGTTTATACAGTTTATAACTGTCTCAGCTACTTTGACAATTTAACAAGTTCAATCAATTAAACTTGATTGTGCAGTTGTGCAGTTGATCTTATGAAGCTAGTTATGCATTTTTTCCGGTTGAATCAATTAACCTAATTTGAGCATTTGAACTATATCGACTATTTGACATAGACAGTGCAAATTGTGTACTCTTACGGTTTTCACTAGTTTGATTATTTAACCAGTTCAACCAGTTAAACTAGATTGAGAAGTTTGTGCAGTGGAACCTATTAAGAGCCATTTTCCGAGACAATCGCAAGACACTCGTAAAAAAAATTGAATTTTTTTTTTCTTTTGCCAAAACATCCCTTTTAGTGACCTAATTCAAGAAAAAATAGTTTTGGGTTCAAGCAATTCCTTGGACGGGAGAAATAACAAAAAGTGTGAAAAATCGATTTATTGCTGTTTTTTTCGCGCTTAAAAACAACAGAATTCGACCGCAACTTCAAGAAAACGGTGAACGCATAAGAAACAATCTCTAACATCGAAACTTCAGCCGAGTATTATTTCGTTCTTAATCTTTAAGGCCCTAAAAGAAAATTTGAAGAAATAAGTTTTTAACATTTACAATCTAAAAGTTTAAAAAGGTCATATTTGTGTCTCTTCAAATGTTAGAAAATGAAAGCGAACTTTAACTGTTGTAAAAGCTCTCTGGTATATGCTGCTTCCTAGTAAAACCCACCAGTAGAAAAAAGCCTTGGCTATTGAAGTAAATTACGGGGACGTTTTAGCACTGGATATTAACTACTGCCCTGACACTAGAGTAAGCAATTTGAGAATTTAAGTTAATAAAATTTATGCAAATTAGACGGTCTGCTGAATGAATTCATACTAAACGCAAAGTTTAGTGTAAAAGGACTACTTACTGTTGTTTTTAATATGTTTTTACAGTGAAAATTTTATTTCTAGCTTTCAGCTGTGTTGGTAAGAGCCGTAAATAACTTTTTATATGACGACTGAAGAACGTTTGTTTAGCCACTGTGCTACGAGCGAAATCATTGAGATCGCGACTTCGAACTGAAACTGTCATCGCTTGATGAAACTCCGTTACCACAATTATAAAATAGTTTTCTTCAGGGAGAAAAAGTAGAATTAAAATGCATTCGAAACTGTTGAATTCGATTTTGAATTTGTTTAGTTAAGATTTAAAGCCACCACAAGGTCTTATGCCCTCTACTGACCCGGAAATCGGTTACATGCCAAGGTCACGTTAGCAAACTGTCACGAAATACTCAATAACTTCTGTTTTCGGCCTTTGTTTTGGTAAAAAAATATATAAACTTTTCACAGAACAGACCTTCTTGCTTTATTTGATTTATATATTTGTATTGGTATGGACACATGCATATGCTGACTGGCTGTGAAAGACATTCATCACAGTTTTTGATTCAGAGTGGTATAATATTTCCCAAAATTTTTCAAACACAAACGTTTCCTTAATAAGTTCGTTATTCTCGAATTTCCCACCTTACAACAATCCGTACAGCAAAAACAAAAGCATAAAAGTCAACTTTATAGCTTGCTTTAGTTTTGTTTTGGATTCTTTTAATGATTTTTCCTCCGAAACCAGGAAACCCTAGCCAGGTAACTAGAAATTCTCAGTTTCATTTAGAGCTTGTCCACAACACAAATTCAAACTTGCGAGTGCTTATTGCGTCCTTGAAACCTTCCAGACCTCTTCAAAATTGTTGAAAAGCCTCTTGGGGGCCAATAATAATTTTTGAGTTAACTATGACCAATTCACACCACGAGCGCAAGAAAAAGAGAACCACTCCGCAGGGCTGAATGCGCGATGTGGAGTGCTATAAAATTCCACATTCTCGCGCGTATTCTCTCTCTAGAGACCTCTAGAAGTGTTGTTTAGCGAAGATAAACAAAATTATCTTTGGTTAACTCAGAGAACTTGCAGAAATACCTCCAGCCTGCATAATAGGCGCTTTATGAGCCAAGCAAGGCGAAAGTGGCATATTGTGCGAAGTGCGAGAAGCGACGAGGGGAGGAGAAAAATAAAGCTTTACTTTTCTCCATCCCTTGTCTTGCGCTTCGCACCTGTTTCGTGCTTCAAGCAAATGCCGCGGTCGCCTTGCTTGGCTCATAAAGTGGCTGTTATGCAGGCTAAAATACCTCTTCACATATATAAGATAAGGTGTCATTGATTTGTTAGAGCAGGAAGAGACTTCGCTGGATGTAGCCTAGTAAGTAAGTAAGTAAGTTTACTAAATCTTCACCCAGTGGCTCTTCCGATTTAATTTACAATAATTGGAAATCGAATAAAACTACCCATAAAAGTTACAATAATATCATGATAAAGAAACAAATACAAATAAATAACTAACATATTCTTAAAATTCTATACCTAAAAAAGATTCCTACGGACTGTTATATATTTCGCGCTTTACTGCATGCTTGAAAACTGAGAGTGTTGCGCTATTTTTCGTTTCTACACTTATAAGAGAATTCCAGGCAGTGATTGCTCTATAACTAAAAGACCTCTGTGCTGTGGCTGTCCTACAAAAGGGTACAACTAAATTGTCTCTAGATCTAGTATTGTAGCTGTGGATAGCTGATCTTTTGTTGACGTAACACTCTAAATATGGTGGTGCAAGGCCATTGACTATTTTGTATAGCATCGTAACATCACGCACTAATAACTGGTTCTTGATAGAAGGCCAACACAGTGCCCGCAGCACTGGTGAGATGTGATCAAACTTCTTGCTGTTTGTCAAAACACGGGCAGCAAAGTTTTGTACAAGTTGCAATTTGTTTATGTTGTGCGCAAACGTTCCAGACCAACCTGTGAAGCAATAAAAGAGTTTACAAAAAACTAGACTATTCAGAATGGTGGTAAGTACTGATTTGGAAAACAAGTGCCTAGCTCTGCTTATCTGGCATAGGGTAGAAATAAGAGACGAGGTCAGGGTGTTAACGTGTTCATTAAAAGTAAGGTTCGAATCCAATATTATACCCAGGTCTTTGACTGAGGACACAGGAATTAAGTGTTGTCCAAGAAAGGGGACTCTGATATCAGGAGCCCCACTTAAAAGCTGTTTCGTTCCAAAAAGAATAAGTTTAGTTTTGTCTGGATTAAAAAGCAACTTATTCTTACAGCACCAGGAGGCAATAAGTCGGAGATCTTCCGAGACTTTTGCAAGGCAGGAGTCAATATTATTCAATTAACACGAAAGATAAACCTTTGTGTCATCAAAATATGACCCTACGCTTGCAAACTTAACAACGGACGGTAGGTCGTTCATGTAAAGGCTGAACATAAGAGGCCCTAGAATGGACCCCTGTGGTACACCATGTGTGACAGTTAACTCACTAGAGCGAGATGTACCGAGTCGTGTTGACTGCATTCGGTTTGTAAGATAGCTCTCACACCACTTTGATGCTTCATTTGACGCACCCAGCCCTTTCAGCTTGGTGAGGAGAGTTCTATGACATATGCTGTCAAAAGCCTTGCTCAAGTCAATTAGGATCATAGCCGTGATCTCCTTTTTATCCATCGCTTTATATATATGGCCAGTGACAAGCAAACTCAGTCTTTCAGTAGAATTGGAAAATTAAACGAGACTTACCTGTAAGTTGAAGTTTGATTGAAATTCTATCCGTCACCAAGCACTGAGGGATTACGTGAGATAGCATTGCGCCTGCGCGAACTCAGTTTTTAAAGCACTTGCCATGTGTGCAGGGGAAAGAAAACTCTGACCAGCAAAATGGGAGGGCCTTAAAAGGGAGGGCACATAATCCCTCAGTGCTTGGTGACGGATAGAATTTCAATCAAACTTCAACTTACAGGTAAGTCTCATTTAATTTTCCAATTCTATTCCGTCACCGCACTGAGGGCTCACGTGAGACTTCAAAGCCCACTGCACACATGAACAGAGTAATGACCAACCAAGCAAGTCATATTGGTCAAAAACAGTTTATTAACTTTACTCTTGTAACAAAACGTTAGAAAAGCTATCTGTGTTGATAACAGGCTTGCTATAAAACTTTGCAAAAGTGTCAGATGAGCTCCATCCTGCAACTGATAAGATGTGCTCTAATGGTACAGATTTCAACAAAGCCTTAGATGTTGCGGCAGCCCTAGTACTGTGGGGCTTGAAAAGGTTTACATCAATTCCTGACTTTTGCATTACAGCTTTGACCCATCTACTGATGGTGTCCCGGGAAACTGGTTTAAATGGCTTGTAATGACTAATAAACAATTGTTGTGCATCTCCACGTAGAGAAGAGGTACGATTAAGATATGCCTTCAAGGTAGTGACAACACAAATGTTAGGGTTGTCCGGGTAAGCTTCAAATTTAACAACAGTGGGTTTCGACCCTGGCTTAGACTGTTTAATAGGCCTGGAGATAATAAAAGTCAGACGTTTCTGAAACAACCATGTCCTCCAAAGACAAGTAGTGAATTGTCTGCCCCCGTTGAGCTGATACTAATGACATTAAAGTGACTAATTTTAAAGTCAGATCCTTTAGTGAGCAGTCTGTAATAGAGATTGTCTTAAGATAGTTCAGAACCTTGCTCACATCCCATGTCTCAGTATATCTTGGGTTGGAGGGTCTTGCTTCGTAAACTCCTTTTAAGAACCTCTTAACACTCTCTTGTGCTCCAAAAGTCATCCCGTCCACAGGCTTTAAGACACTGGATAGAGCAGACCTTGCAGTGTTAATACCACTGTAACCGATGCCTGACTCAAATAGCTCCACTAAAAAATCTAGTGCCTGGGGGACAGTGGCAGAAACTGGATCAATCTGTTTTTTATGACAATATGTAGTCCATCTTTTGATGTAAGATGAATACTGCTTTGTAGTTCCTTTCCTCCAGGACTGTAAGATAATGGAGGTTGCCTTTTGAGAAATTCCTTGTGTCTCATAGGACTGTCGGACAATCTGCATGCAATCAGAACCATTTTCCTGAATAGGGGGTGGACTTCTTGTGGCATCCCCGGCATTTGTAAGGCAGTTCGTTGTTGTGGTAACACTCTTGGAGCAGCCACTAACATGCGAAGAAGTTTGGGATACCAACTCTGGGTTGGCCACATTGGAACTATCATCAATCCCTCTGCACAATCGGTTTGTATTTTCTGTAGGCATCTTGCAATTAAACTGAAAGGAGGGAAAGCATAGAACAAGTGTTTATCCCATGTTACAGAAAATGCATCAATAAAGGCTGCCCCTGGGTCAGGTTTCCAGGATACATAGCATGGAACCTGATGATTTAGTCTGGATGCAAAGAGGTCTATGGAGGGCTCCCCCCAGATATCTGTGATCTGTTGGAAAATATCAGATCTTATCATCCATTCCTTGTTGTCTGAGAAAACGCGTGATTCCCGATCTGCCTCAACATTTTTGGTCCCTGGGATATGAGCAGCTGTTAACCATATTTGTTTTTCTATGCACCACTGCCAAATATCTTTAGCAATAGTGTGACATTCCCTAGAATGTACACCTCCCATAGCATTAATATAGTTCACAGTTGTAGAGTTATCAGAGTAAATCTTAACGTGAATGCCTGGCTCATTTTTGCAAAATGCCTTAAGTCCAAAAATTGCAGCTAACAGCTCCAGACAATTAATGTGATATTTTGCTTCTTCCTCTGACCATCTACCCCCTATTTTCTCTGTCTCTTTGACAGCTCCCCATCCTTTAGTTGATGCATCGGTGTAAATTATTACATCAACCTTTGAATTAGGCAATAATATGGGGTAGTTATTTGTCTGTATGTTATCATACCACCACTTTATCTCTGAAAAGCTTTCTTGGGATAATCTCATTTGAGCATTATAATTGCCATAGTTTTGTCTTAAGGCTGTAGTTTTATCCCTCTCAAGTTGTCTATAATACAGTGGTCCATATAAGATTCCAGGAAAACTTGACACTAAAAGCCCTATAAAGCTAGCTAGTTCCTGGATTGGGAGCTCAACAAGCTCCATCATTTTCTTGCATCTTTCCCTTATGCGCTGGATTTTTTCCTGTGTTAGGGAGACAGTCATATTAACTGAATCCAAGACAAATCCCAGAAATGTAAGGACTTGAACTGGCTGTAAGACCGACTTATCAGGATGTAGGATAAAAACCCAATGTTGAAAATAAGTCACAGGTATCATTAATATTGGCTTGGCAGTCCTCCACGCTCTCCCCTTGTAAATAAGAGTCATCAATATAGCCTACATTTATTTTTATATATAGTAGAAATATATTCACCAGGGGAATGTGTGGTTTCTGAAATCACACCTTTGGTCAGCAGTTTATCAATTTCATTGTCAATGACCTCCTGCTCTGGTTTTGTAAAATTTATTTCTTTTGGTGGCATAAACTGCATTGGCTCTCCATTTTCAAACTCAATTTTATAATTTTTCACACTATTAAGTATGAAAGGATCTGAGGTTATGCATTGCCACTGAGAGGTAAATTGTTTCAGTCTTCCTCCTGTAATTTTAATAGGTTGCTCTGACACATTTCTTACCTCAACGTTGTTAGCAGTCTGATTCATTTTGACTTCCCCTCCTTCTTCCTCTTGAAGTTCGGAGGATGTTTGTGGTCGTTTTTCCACGAGCCTAAAAAAGGCTTCCTGTAATGTTGGTTTCCTGAGCGTCCGCGGCTATGTGCGTAAGAGTTGTGCCTGTGATAATCAGGCTTGTTCGTTGATCGACCACTGTGTGTGGAGACTTTCTTTCCCACTCGATTGACCTCGGTCAATTCTTTCACTTGTTTCGGGAGATCATTGCCAAACAATTGGTCAGTGATCGGAACCGACGAGGAGCAAAGATGTTTGTATTCCTCGTGTAAATCCGGTTTAATAAATTCCCTTCATCTTTGATTGAGTTCACTGTTTGCATTAGCGAACAATGTAAGTGCATCTGTTGACTTTTGAAGAAGGTCGTTTCCCGCTGGGAGTGATGACAAGTGCTCAAGGAGTTTGTCGATCATATTTGTCAACGCGCACATTCCTTTGAAGATGGATGTCTGCACCTTTTGCAGTCTAACATCTTGGGACCGGACTGTTGGAGTAAGGTGGTCCCATACTGGTTGATTGACTCGTACTTTTGTCAAGAATTCACAGTTCTCTGGTCTGTGATACTTGTTCAACTTTTCCTGAAGTTTCTCTTCAGGCAGCCCTTCTTTGAGCATGGCATTCACTACATTCGCCAGCTCTGTGTTTGCACTTGGGCCCGTCTCCTCTTTCTTCAGCTCTTGTTTCAAGCTGTTAAGTACCTCAAATTTTCCTTCATTAGAAGGCATATTTTGAGCCCCGGTTGAGTCAGCCAGCTTTGTCACAGCTTCTTCTAAGCTCGTAGTTTTGTCATGTCGCTTCTTCTTCGTGGGGGGCTCTTCGCTGACCTCGTGGTCATTCTCGGCAGATTTTGCCTCCTGTTCTTCCTCTGTGTCAACATATTGTATTTCAAAGTCTGACTGACTCTGTTTGAGCGACTCAGCAATAGTCTTGGATAAATCTTGAGACATCTGGGTGAAACCCTGTCTCAGCGTAGCGGCCAGCTCTTGTAAACCATGTGAGTCAGTTTTGGCGCCATCGGCGCCATCACCTCTTTCGATGATTCTAACTTTTGCTTCAATGTGTTCGCTTCTAGAGCGACTACTTTTCCTTTTTAAGTTGTCTTTCTCGCCCTTAAGCTCAGATTTATCCGCGGTCTCGGGCATTTTTTGCGAATTATCGCTTAAAACTAAAATTCTCAGTGTGTTGAAAAAACAAACGTCCGTTCTCCCAAAGGCGGCAACACACTGAGTTCGCGCAGGCGCAATGCTATCTCACGTGAGCCCTCAGTGCGGTGACGGAATAGAATGGTGTTTACGGTTTCCGCTTTGATGACAGGTGAGGTTGCCTTGTTGAGTCAAATAATCAGTGAAGTGATTCAGGGCGATCTTTTCGGTCACTTTTGAAAGTACTGGTAATGAAATAGGGCGATTGTTACTAGGAATCTCGTGATCACCATCTTTAAGATGTGGCACTACTTCCGACTTCTTCCAGGCCTTAGGGAAAACAGAGTTGCTAAAAGAAGAGTTTATCAATGCAGTAAGGGTTGGTAATATATACGGTAAACAGTCCTTGATCACAAACACTGGAATTCTGTCATAGCCTGGAGCTTTATTAGAAGGCATAGCCATAATCACTTTTCGTACATCTTCACTGGTTATTGCTTTGAAGTCAAACAGTTCATCACAATGTGTTGAACCGAGATAAACAGGAGTAGTTGATAGGCCGTGAAGGCGAGCGAGCTCCACAGAGTCATCGGCGGCCTTCTGTCCCACAGATATAAAGAAGCCATTAAATTCATTAGCGAGTGCATCTAAGTCCTTGGTAAAGCTTGAGCAGCCTGATTTATTTGGGAGGGCACTGCGAATAGTTTTCCACATTGCCCCACTGTTGTTCTTATTTTCACAGATTTGATGATTGTAGTGCTCTCGTTCCGCCTTCCGTAAAACAAATTTAACTCTATTTCGCAGCTCTTTAAGAGCCTCCTAATCTTCCCTCGTCCCAGTCCTTCTCGCTCTTTTGTGAAGGTGGTCTCTCGCCTTCATCAAATCCCTTATGTCCTCCGTGATGAATGGGTTTGGTTTATGTCGTATTTTCATTGTTTTAACCAGAGCGTGGTCGTCCAGACACGCCCACAGCAAGTCATTAAATGCATCTAGTCTGTTATCAACGGATTCGTCTATCAGGTTCATAGTATCCCATGGGATGTGCGCGATGTCATTTGCAAACTGATCAGCTTTATAATTCCGAAAACTACGTGTGACGATGTAGGTTGGGGCTTGCTTGGGTGATCTTAAGTTAATAACAGCATGAACCAGAAAATGATCACTTATAGTTATTTCAAGAACATCGCTCGACTTAACAAGGACAGGGTCAGAGACCAAGATGATATCCAATAAGGAGCGTTAGTTCTCAGTCACGTGAGTTGGCTTGTCTATAAGCTGTGTCGCATTTACAGTTGCACAAAACGACAGCAATGCTTCTCCCCTCGGATTGTTTGAAAGAAGGTCACAGTTTAAGTCGCCTGTTAGCACAATGTCCTTGTTGCGTGATAACGCTTCGATGTACTTTGGGAACAGTTCATTCTCTAGGCATGCAGTTCCAATTTCCGGGGGTCCGTAAACAATACAAACCAGCAATGAAGCTTCTTATTTTGAACTTGAATCCACAGCTGGTGTAGGCCGGATTCGGATATTTCCGTGAGATCCTTCAGGACTTTTACCTTCAGAGTAGATTTTACGTAGGCGCATACACCGGCACCTGCTTTTCCAAGGCGATCAAGTCTAAAGACCCTGTATCCCGGGATTTCGACAACATTGTTGGTCACGGAAGAGTTAAACCAGGTCTCCGAGATGGTTAAAATATCAAAATCACGTTCCAAGGCTAACTCCTTCGTTTCAGTGAAGTGTCGTCTACATTTGAGAAGCTCTGTGTTAAGATGGGCTATTTCCAAGAGCTTGTTTTGGTTTTTATACACCGTTGATTGTGCATTCTTTGTCAATTGTATTCTGTTACAATTTGCGCTCACGTGTCCAACTGAGTTAGGGATGCGACGAGTCTGTCGATTCCCATGAATAACAGCAATCCTACTGCTAGTGGTATCTGGACCTGGTAATCGATGGATGTCGCCACTTAGTGAAATACACAGTTTCATAAAGTTAAAACCAGCACAAGAGTTAGGATAATGTGAAATTCTTTGTTTAAAATATTTTCGCTGCGGATCAGTGAGCCGGCACGTTGAACGACCGCACAGCCAAAGCGAAACAAAAGGCTCAGGAGTGGTATTTTGAACCCTTACAAAGGATGGCAGTTCACAAGGCAGATTTCCATGGGCGAAGCTAATCCATATGATCAGCATGATAAATAGTATCAATTAAAATCAAAGGAGAAACCCTATAAAGAACTAAAGTGTGAATTAAAATAACATAAAATATATAGAAAAGCTAATACTTATTTTAAACTACATAAATGATTAGATTTATCGTGTTCTAAAAAATATTAAAAAACTATCGCCTTAAATTTAGATAAAGACTGTATCTCTCGAATGTCCTTTGGTAAAAGATTCCACTCCCTAACAGCAGTACATTTAAATTACGTTTGACCCATTTTGGTCTTTGTAGCAACAATGTTCAATAAGGTAGAGTCTCTAAAATCTCTGGTATGAAAGGCTGATCCCTTAAGGAGATAGTTCTCTAATTGCTGTGGGCAATTTATATTATGTATAATCTTAAAAACAAGATTAAGTCTTAGGAATCTACGTCTACTCTCCAATGATAATAAGGAAAGCTTACTACGCATTTCTTGAGAACATGTATTACGATTTGTAGAGAGGATAGTACGCATGGCTTGATTTCGTATCCTTTCTAAACGCTGTGAGTTGTTCTTTCCACAGTCCCCCCGTACGATACAGCCATAGTCTACTATGGGTAATATCGTTTGTTTATGGATATTTAAAAGCACCCTTTGACTAAGAAAGGGTGCAATTCTATTTAACATCTTAAGCTTGGGATATATCCTAGAGGCTAAATATGTAATATGCTTGTTCCAGCTAAGAGTATTATCTATATAAACACCTAAATATTTGAAGTCTTCACACTGTTTCAGTAGCCTCCCATCCATAATGATTTGTAAGTCTGAAGCATTTTTCACTGCGTGTTTTGATCCAATCAGGATTGCTTCGGATTTCTTTTGATTGCGGATAAGACCATCAGTACTGAGCCGATCGGTAACTCTTCCAAGATCTTCATTTACATACTGTTCAGCAATTTTAACATCTTTAGAGCTGGTGTGAATTCCTGTATCGTCGGCGTACAATACAATATCACAGCTATCACAAACATCTGAAATGCTATCTATATGAATATTAAATAGAGTCGGGCCTAGCACAGAACCCTGCGGTATTCCATAGGTAATCGTCAATTGTTCGGAATCAGTTCCATCACATGAGACAAACTGGAGTCTTCCAGACAGATAGCTTTCAAACCACTCATGTTCCTTGCCAGTCACACCATGTTGAGCAAGCTTCTGTAGCAAGACATTATGGTCTACAACGCTGAAGGCTTTCTTTAAATCAAAAAACGCACATACTACTTTTTCTGATCTGTCAATAGCCATTTTCCATGAATCTACAGTTTGAATTAGGGCAACCATAGTTGATGAATGTTTCTTAAAGGCGCATTGGTGTTGTTTTATCAGACCAGCTTCTTGTGCATAATTAACAAGGGCCTTGTTTGTAAGAGATTCATGTATCTTAGAAATACACGGAAGCACAGATATTGGTCTGTAATTATCGCATTCTGCCTTTGTCCCCCCCTTAAAAACAGGACTTACTTTTGCGATCTTCTATACAGATGGGTATCGGCCACAATTGTATGATTGGTTAAATATCTTGGTTAAAGTTTCACTAATGTGAGGTGCAGCGATCTTCAAATACTTAGCCGAGATGTTGTCTGCACCAGTGGCCTTACTGGGGTTTATTGTCTTCAGAGCCATATACACATCTGAATCCAATAAAGGTTTAAACTTGAAGAGCTTAGATGGCGATGGCTTTATTGGTTGCGGTTCTGGGGGAGGTTGATTTGCCAACAATGTAGATGCAATCGTGGTAAAATACTGATTTAGTGAATTCGCTATAGCTGTCTTGTTATTCACTTGGTTACCATCTATCAATAGTTTTTCAATCTTGGTGCTCCTATACTTTGATGGAAGGACTTGATGAAGTGTATTCCAGTAGGCTTCAGGGTTAGCTCGATTTTCTTGAAGTTTATTCTTAAAATTGGCTTTTCTGTTTTTTCTGTTACTGCTAGTTACTTGGTTACGGAGTCGCCTATATTTTTGCCAGTCTTCAGTGAGACCAGTTCTTATGGCCTTTTTATGCGCCTTGTCCCGGTTTGTCATCATTCGTAGCACAGAGTTGTCTAACCATGGGTGCATTTGCTTTCGGAGTCTTTTCTTTTTGATAGGAAAGTGGGAATCAATTAATGATTTAAACAAGCACTCCCAGGCGGAATACATGTCCTCCATGTCATCGAAAAACTCAAGAAAGGTCCAAGGAGTTTTCTTTAAGTCATTGATGAAATTTTTCCTACTTTTGTCGTTCCAAGTCCGTGTTGTCAAGATGCGATGCTTATGCGGACAAATTGCTGGGCCGTTCATAAGTCCAAAAATAGGGTAATGATCACTTATAGTTGTACTAAGAACTCCTGAAGATCTGAACAGACTTGGGGTAGACGTAACGAGTAAATCAATAAGAGATCTTGTTTTACAAGTAACACGAGTGGGTTCTTTAATTATTTGTTCTAGTTTATTAGCAGCAAGAAATTCCAATAATCTTTTTGTTTGACCGAGGGAGTCATTAAGATAATCACAGTTCAGGTCACCCAGTACAATGACTTCCAAATTCTTTCGAGTGGCATACCTCAGCAAGTCATCTAAATAATCAAAAACCTCCAGGGATTCGTTTGGGGCGCGGTAAACACATCTGACCAAGAAATTCGTTTTCCATAATTGTACTTGAATCCAAATAGCTTCCGAGTCTTCTTCCAAATCTTTTCTTCGAGTATATTTTAGGTCTTCCAGTAAATAAAGCGCTACCCCTCCTCCACGACGGTTTTCTTTTCTGTCCAAACGCTTTACTGAGTAATTAGGAACTGCTATTTCAGAGTCTTCGATAGAATTGTCCAGCCAGGTTTCAGTTATAGCGATGATGAGAGGAAATACTTTGCTAAAGATCAATCTCAATTCATCGATATGTTGAAGAAGGCTTCTTGCATTTAAATGAACCAGCATGTTCTTACGTTTACTTATAGTTTGCGTATTTCTGTCCTGTATTAAACTTGCTTCAGGGTCAAAACCTGGATTAGGATGAACATCTCCACAGAGGGCTAAATTATCCAGTTGAAAAGAAGCAGTTGAATTGCAGTGATGGTAGATTCTGCGAAGGAAGAAGTGCTTCTTACGCTTGGGAACAAGCTTAAAACCAAGATGGCTGCCCAAACCAGAACGCTTTACAAAAGCGTGGCACAAGTTGGTGACTCACCATGCGCCAAGTACTTTCCATTAGATGGTGGAGAAAAGCAACTCACTTCGGTTATTAAACATCTCTTGAGGTGCAACAAGTCTCTAGCGCAAGAAATTATCAAAAAGAGGAGAATTTTGAGAGAGCGAGCAAAAGCACGTCCGACTCCCATGATGACCGCTGACTCATTTTTTTCACGTAGAGCTTGAGATGAGAAAATAGATCAAAAGTGGAGAGCACAAAAGGCCGTGTCTAGCAGTCATTATGCTAATCCTGCTCTCTGCCTCTCTCTGCCTCGTTATGCTAATCCTGCTCTCTGCCTCTCTTGTATCTCTAACATATGCAAACGAAATAACTTGACTGGTCGTGCCCTCCTCTAACCTGGACTTGTAGCCTAGTTTGGCAAGGTCTAACAAAGACCGTTTCTCTAGAGACTTGATGCATTTCTCTAAAGATAGGTGTTTTTCGAGAGACCTTTGAAAGACCTTAACACACTCATCCTGGGGGGAAGGTAAACACGGTTGACGATTCATTTATATGGTCAGTGGGATCATGAACCTGCTCCACTTCCGTCTCTTGCTTCTTCCTTGACTGAGTCGGTTTTGGGCTAAGGGGTTTAAATTTTTCCAGAAGAAAACTCAGATGAAAGCCAACTAATTCCATGCTCTGAAGTAGATAACACATAAAGAAACAAGATCTACTTAAACAGCACTGTTCACCTACTTCAATATTTCACTCTGCACAGCCTGTGAAGAGTGCCCCAATGGTCCACTTTACTGTGCGAAGAGATGAAATGTTTGCTTTTTACATCTTATGACGACATTTTCTTCAGAACCACCATATTCTGCAATGTTCGTTTTAAAAATTTTGTAGAACAAATCAAGGGCTATGAATTTATAAAGGGGCTAAAGGGCTTAAGTCTTTTACAAAGCAAAACCCCACGGGGGTGGCAGACATCTGCTCCTCCTGCATACCAGGGTGGGTAATGGATGCCTTTCATGCGCCTGAAGGCTATAACAAACGATAAACGTACACCCTTTTACTCAAAATATAAAAAATATATATTTGCGCGATGACATAATTCTAAAAAAGGATGAAATTGTGAATTTTCATTAGACTAACCTTCTGATGTTGTTTCCGATGGGATCTCTTTTCCCTTTCCCATACCATAAGCGCGCCAAGCTACGAGAATTTCGTCTTTAAACTAGATATTGTTTAATTTGTTGATACCAATAATCTTTCTGATGTCATCTACTACTGCTTCCTGTTCAACACTTTGCATGACAGCAACTCGAACTCCTTCTATCCCCCATGCGAAAGAAGAGCACTCTTCAGTTGTTCGGCATTGGTCACGTCATTTCCTTCATTTATGAAAGTCCTGATGTGATTCTTGCAGGTTGTAGCGAGCCTCTCTGTGGCACCTTTTCCACCCTGTGGGTCAGAAAAGTCAATGCCCTTGATTTCAATGCTGGTAGAGGAGGATATCACTGGGCATGAGAGTACGGTGGACGACGAATGATAACATCCTGTGTTATCTTGGCGAAAGAACGCCTTGTTAATCTCTCTGTGCTCCAACTTGATGGTATTCAGAACATCTTGCATGATTTTAACCACTGCAGCACTGCCTTGATTGCGCGACTACACTATGTGCAGAAAGCACTGCCACTGGAGTACCCCGCTCACACGACGGTAGACGACAGAAACGTGCCAGGAGATGCCTGTCATTAAGAGCAAACAACACACAATGGTCTGCTACGCTAGAGGGGCTAGTGACATGAACCTGTTGACAAAACAAAGTTGAGATTACTTCAATATAATAATGAATCAAATGATTTTTTAATCTAACAAATATTATGAACGTAAGGGGGCGAATAACTTTTAACCTTAACCTTAGAAAAGGCCACTATCCTCTTGCGCGCATTGTTAATCTTAAGAATTTATATGTGCACCATTTAGAGAAGAAAAAGAGTACAAAAAAATTTTTATATCGATGCATGTTTCGAAGAAAAACGTCCCTTTACGTGAGCTCTGCCCGAAAAAGATGTCCCAACGTGAAGAAAATGCTAGAATAAACACAACAGATGATTTGGAACAATTTGGCCACAAACTGTGGCAGTTTTAATTAAATCAATTATAACTAAGTGATAACAAAGAGCGGAATATCTGAACTTATCAACCGATAATGTCAACGTGGGACGACAAAAAACGCCACCACGAAACACAATGGATAAGGCTAATGATAAATTGGATAATTAAAGAAATATTGAGAACCCGTTGGAAGATGATAGGGGTGGTGGAGGGAAAAGATTTCTTGAGCACTTGACGTTCAAATGGCGAGGGATAGAAGGGCGAATCAAGGAATTTCTCCTGGTTTTTAACATAGCAAACTCCGCCCTTACTACTGATTGGTTACTGTTCGTACCTGGTACAAACCTCCCAACGGGTTATCATATAAACATGCCCCGACATAAAAAACATTATGTCTAGACATAATGTTTGTCTTTTTTTCGGAATGATTTTGTTGATGAGGTAAAATAAGTCCTTATTTTTAGTTTTATTCCAGCTGTCTTTCTGGAGTCAGAATTCACATTACCTTATAGTCCCCCTTCAAATACTGCTTGCTTGTCATAAGAGCTTGCACAACTGTAGTCTCCCACTCCTTGCCGGAACCTAATTCCCCGATTTGGCGTACAAGGGCCACGAGATCATCAAATGCGCGAGCATCTTCAGCTGCAAAATAATCTAAGTCCTGCAGTGATTTTCTTACAGAGGCACTGCATTTAGGGAGTACCTGTCTCATAGTAGTTTTGCTGAATGGTTTGAATTTGGTCTCCAAACAGTACTGAGTGTACTGTTGTACCACTCGCTTGGGTATCATCATACGGCTTATGTTAGGTACTTGAATAACCTCACCAGACGAAAGCTTGAAATGTTGTTGCCCAAATGGAAGGTCCCGAACAAGATGTGGGCTCGTGATGAAACCAAGAAAGTGGTCAAGCTGCCTCAAGTCTACTCGTATTCGTGTGGTAGGCTGTTGTGGAACTTGAGCACCTCGGCGAAACTGTGATCGATGAAGATTAGCCATGGAGTATCGGTATCTCGTCAACCTCGGGATATAATGGGAAATGTTGTTGAAAGTTCCAACCCCTGCCATAATCGAAAGCACTTGTCTACAGGTATCCCAGCTGGTTGCATTCCGGTACGCTTCTGCTAGGGCCTCTAAATACAAATGCTCTGAATGTGACAACTCGCTTACACCTAGGGCCTTGTTCATAGTTGAAGAGGAGGCTAAACATCACCAAAGTTCACTAGCATTATCAGGGATGACGCTCTTTAGCACAGTTGCTACTATTTCTGCAGCTCTCCTTGTCTGACGTTGTCTTGTTCGCTCAGAGAAATAACTCCAGGAAAGCCATGGCTTTCCAAGCGGTTCAAGTTTGCATGCTACCAGGAACTCACTCAGTTTTTCTTGCGGCTCAGCTAAGATCACAGGTGTGGGCTCGTCACTCTGAGTGAAAGCTGTGCTTATTGTGTCTGGTGACAGAAAGGTGTCATCAGCGATTGTAAGACGTCCAAGGCTTTCTGCGAACTCTTCAACAGATTGACTGGTATCACTTTATCCTGGAGATGAGTTTGAGCTGTTCTGTAACATACAAACAAGACGTTTAGACATTAGTGTTACTACAATATTTCTGTTTATTTTGTCACTAGGCGTTAGCTTTTTTAGTATAGTTCGAAACTTAAGTTATACATAATTTTAAAATAGAAAATATGAATCTACATGCATACCGTTATCATTATCAATACTCCTGCTCCGGCCAAACCGAAAGGAATTTAAAGAAACAAACAGTGACCTATTCGTCTTAAAATCATTTTCAGAGTCATTTTCAAAGTTTACAGTTATTCACAGTTGCCCAGCCCTTTCGGAATTTCGACATTTGTTATGTTGGAATAACTGTCTGTATCCCAGGTTACCATTTACCTACTTGTATTTGCTTCTGAAGTCTCTAGTTCTACGCATGGAATAACTTCAATCATTAGTGCGGGTGTCACTTTCTGTTGTTGGTTTGTCTCCGCAAAATGTTGCTTGCACATTCTGCAAAGAGCTGTGGCAAAAATAAATGTTAACCTTGTTAAAAGGCCATCGCCGGGAGTGGTGAATAAAGATCTTTTTTGCTATCGTAAGTGTTAATATTAGGTTTGCAAAATCTTAATGCCGCAGTTAAAAGCCTGCGATTTTTAAAGAGATGAACTCGTTTGCTTATTGTTCTTGCAAGCAGGATACTAAAGAGTGGTATGCAAGTACTGGGGACAATAATTTTGTCAAATGGAAGGGAACATTTCGGCTCGACCGACCGAAATAGCCTGACCGACCGAAATAACCTGACCGGTCAAAGTGGACCAGCTTCAAAGGCGTTCCCAAATATTCCGGTAGGATGGAACCAAAATGGTCCATTCCATTTGATTTCTAAACTTCCGGAATTTTGGGCTGAATGGAAAGCATCCAAAGATTTTCTCAGAATAACATGACCATCGTGAGGTCTGTGATAAAGAGATGATGGAAATGTACACCACTATTAGCCGTTACGTAAGACGGTAAGACAGTTCATAAGATTTACCTGCTCTTGCAAACAGCAGTTTCCATTCAGTGTCAAGTGCTGTATCTGCTTTTAATCCATACAGCTCGCAGTGCCTCGGTATGTCCCTTGTACAATTTCTTAAAGCGAGAACTTCAACTTGGCTTAGATAATCGCTGTTTAAACCACAGGGT